CAACGAGCGAGGCGATCGGATTCGGCTGACGTTCGGAGCTCAACTTGGGAGACTAGTTGAACCACCACGCTTGCGACGGCTTCGTTGTGGGTTGGGTTGATCTGGCGGCGACAGGTTTCCTCGTGAATTCGCTTCCGCATTGCATGCGCGGCATGCTTGCGACGTCGAGCGTCCGCGTCATCCTCTTCCCAATCCCAGCCGGCAACTATTGCGTCGAGACGCTTTTCTTTCCGGAAATTGGTTTCCAAAGAAGAGTCCAGGGCAGTTGAATCTGCCCGAGGCATTCGATCTCGAGCTCGTGCGACGTGACCAATCGGTCTCAAACGCTCGAGGTCGTCCAACTTGTGTTCCCAGATCCGACGTGGTTCCTCGACTGATGAGACTCCTGTGTCGATGTCGAGCCAGGAGACTACGCCCGTCACGGGATCCTCGATGGTTTTCCAAGGAAAGGTAGCATCCTTGTCAAGGTCTGGTGGCGGATTTTTCTCCATCAAGGTCATCTCGTCCTCGGCCAGCACCAGCGAACGAATGGACGCTGCATAACGCCGCGGCGATACCAGAGGCTCTATGGATTTGGACCTTCGTGTCCCAGGAATTGATTGGTTCAATTTGAGCATGCCACTACTGCTCATCTGTGCTCCTTCACCCGCGTATCGCACCGCAAGCTCGGCTGTCGTCCTATCAAAGGCCCGTCGAAGCATCGGCGCCATCACATACCCGTTCTCATAGACAATCTCGTGAAGCAGCGCTGCCTGCGATTCAGGCCTAGAGAGGTAGTCGACATACTTCTTCAGGACATTGGGCCTGATTTCCACACGGCGACATTCGGCCACGTAACGTCCAATCGAATCAACCTAAAGGGGAGAAGCTGCTGCCCAGGAGAGTAAGAGTGGCCATGAAAGTGACTGCTCAGGCGCTTTGCGATGATCGCATCTGTAATAGGCCATATAGCCTGCACACGCTCCGAACAGAAATCAGAGGCAAAAGTTTCGTCGCCACTTTTGAATGCTGAAGCTCCCATAGTTGGATGGATGTCGAGTTTCTGATGTCCGAAAGCGTCCCAACTGTGGCCATTTGCATTACAGTTGTCCTGCTTAGCCAGGGATTCCCCATTGCGTTCACAAGTTTCCGTTGGGCGGACTTCTGACACTACTTCTTCGACCTTCTTTGCACTCACCGACAGTGAAAGCATTCCTTGCGACCCGCGTGGTAAGCCTTCCAGCTCAAGGGTAAGCTGTTTGCCCCCATCGACCGCTGTGTGTAGGGCATTCAATGCCAAGGTCGTGCGGCCGATTACCTACTCGTTTCAAACCGATGATTTTTGTGCGCGTGCCTGCTGACGCCGGGCCCACATTAGGCCTTTCTGGGTGTCGGTCGTTCTGCACTGAAAGAGTCAACTGCGCCCCGGGGTCTCTCCATTGCTGTTCATCGACTCGCAGACGCAATGCGTCCTGATCCCATACAACATTAGTCCCTGATCGATTCTCAGTTTCGCTTGCGACAGATGAAGTCCCGACTGAGATCAACAAATATAGCGACTGCTTTGTACCAACAATCAAGCCTTTCGGTCGTGAATCGGGCAAATCCAGCGCGACAATGTTTGCGAAAGAGAGTTCTAGCTGCCGCCACTTGATGTCTGTCATTCTCCGTTTTAAAACCGTTGACTAGCGTACTATCTGACTACCAATTATTAAGATTAAGCTGTATCGTTAACTTGGCTGTCCGTCCCGAATGCGCGACAGCTTATGGCGCCTAAGTTTCGACCGTCGTAGAATGTATTGTATCTGCAGATTCAGATATCTGAGGTAGATGTTACCTAGTAGCCTAGTAGCCAGGGAAGACATGTGCCCTACTAAGGCAGGTAGCTCACTGAGGCCGACCGGTCGGTCGGTCGGTCCTTACCGATCTTGTCATAACTGCCCCCTATCCAGCATTATCTGACTGACCAGGACAGTAGTAGTTTCTTACTTATTTCGTCATATAAATGTAGACGAGTTAGGACAACGCACGCCCCTACCGGAGGTCCAGTACTGAGTCTTAGCGACCATGGTAGCGGGACCCTTGGGCACGGGTGCACCCCCCCTCGTCAAGAATATAGCTCGAAAGAAACGAAAGCCGCGTCGGTTACATACGTGGACCGCTGACCTTCTGATGGACGCGTTGCGTGATAAATTTGCGACACAATCGAACTCGGTAAGACGCGCTTTTCGCGAAGTCGCTCAGCCCGGGTGCAGCGCGGTGCCATAATAGTGTGTGCTTGGCATCAGCGCAGCAAGTTTACATTATAGGCAAGATCGGATTACCAAAACGCAAATCCGACGGCTACTGCACAATCTGAACCTCGTGGGTGTGGGTCCAAAGGTCGTAACGGAGCTGTTTGATTTGATAGATATCGACAAAAATGGTTCGATCGATTACCGTGAGTTTAGAGTTGCGTTTGGAGAGGGCATATGCGGCGGTGGTTACGAAGGTATGGATGTTTTTCGTGGCGAAGAGTCACACCTGGCGAATGTGGCAAGTCGAAGCCTGCGTAATGGGCTGAGGGAAATGGAACTTGAGTCGGCAGTGTCGGAGTTACGCGCGCGGATGGCGACGCAACACATGAAAGTTCGAACAGCGTTTCGTGCATTGGATCGCAATAGCTCTGGAACACTGGAGAAGGATGAGCTCCTCTCGCTGTTGGAAAATTATCATATTAAGCTGAGTGAAGGCGACATGGACCGTTTAATGGCTATGATTGACACTGATGGCTCGGGGAAGATTTCCTATCGGGAATTTAATGACTACTTCGGCGCTGATATTGCTGGTGGCAAGTTTGAGAATGGCGGTGGCATGGAATCGGCCCTAGCAACTGCAGAGGACACGCGCGCAGAGAAGCACGAGGAGATTCGCAAGGAGCGTAGCTATAATTATCACAAGAATTGGACAACCATCGACTTCATGAATGCCATGGAGACGATATTGATGACACGTGCTCGGACTGTCAGACGAATTTTTCGCGTCGCAGACAACGATAAATCGGGCTGCATCGACGCAAGAGAGTGGCATGCCGCACTTCGCCAACTGAACCTCGAGATGTCACCTGTAAAGGCGAAGGAGTTTTTCGACGCATTAGATAAGGATGGCGACGGCCATATCAACTATCGCGAATTCGTCAACGCATTCGGGGACATTGTCGCAGGCTACCGTGACACGGGAATAATGACCGCACACCTGATTCGTCAGGAAAAACGAAAGAAGGAATTTGGAAATGCGTTGCGTCAGCCGTGCCATGTACCCAAGGTACCACGCTATACGGTAAAGCAGATAAAGGAGTTAGTTGCAAGGCGCCTCGGTGGCAAGTACAAGTCTGCTTGTGCAGCGTTCCGTAACATTGACATGGATAAAGGTGGTTGTCTAGACAAGAGCGAACTACGACATTTTATCAAAACCCTAAACGTCGAGCTTGTTGAGGAGGACTATGAAATGCTGTATCGCGAACTTGACTGTGATAACAGTGGCAGTATTAACTACGAGGAATTCCTTTATTGGTTTGGTGAAGCAATCTGTGGCGCGCCTTGGCAGGTAAGGGAATCAACTGGCCTATGCACGGCAGGTGTACCGCACGCGGTCAACAGCGCACCCAGGCCCACACTTTTGTCCGTAAAAGAAGCTCTGCGGTTATTGCACCTCAAGCTCACAGAAACTTCGACTTCAGTTAACAAGGTGTTCAAACGCTACAATAAGGGTCGATCCACTAAGCTTTCCAGGAGGCAATTCAAGCTCATGTTTGACAATTATCACCTCCACGTAAGCGACGAGCGAGTTGTGGAGATAATCAAATATGTTCAGAGTAGCCACGGTGATCTTCCCGTCGATGGAATTGGCGTCGGCTTCGCCCTCTTTGTGAAGGAGTTCGGGAAATCGATCGCAGGCGAAGCATTTGTTGGCGTAGCGAACCAAAACCCAGGATCTGCAGAATTATGCAAAGTGCCGAAACCTACGCCCAAGTGCACTGCCAAAGAGGCACGCGCCATGCTTATAACGAAACTTGTCACGAACTTCAAGCATAATCGAACAGCTTTCACGAGGTTCAACCTCGCGCGCGATCATGCAATGACTAAGGATGAGCTGCGCTATGCCCTCACGCACTATCATATCCACCTTGATGATGCCGAATTCGACAAGTTTGTCAGCGAATTCGACGAAGATGGCAATGGCACTATTGATTTTCGTGAATTTATCTCGGTCGTTGGCGCTGAAGTGAGCGGTACCCAAGACAATGGCCTCAGTGTCACGATGCAGGCAGCCGACGACCGTCAGAAGAAGAGACTCAAGGACCTCCATAAAGAGCTTGAGCGTCACGACTTTGAGCACTCGGAGTCGGAGTCTGAATCAGAGATTGACGAGGAAGGCCATCATCGCCATTATCATGTGCACCACCACAAGGGTGACAGGCGCCTCCCCAAGGGTCAACAATACCACACGCCCGCGGACGAGACAATTGAGCGACCTGAATCTCAGAGATCCACGGCCTATCACAAGTGTCCCATTGATGGCAACCTTGCCCTTCTTGACGCCAAGGCACGTCACAGCCTTCAACGTGCCATAAAGCTTGCCAACCAAGAAGCTGTGCTCGGGAATGAATTGCAAGTACGGCCGCATATTGCTGCCGCTAGACGACGCCGGCAGGCGCTAACAAGATCTCAACACTTTCAGGGAACCCCCCAAAACACGGCTTGGACCGTCACGAACAATGATTTCAGTCCAAAGCAAGAAAAGCTCCACCGCAGACACTGGCGAAATCCGCCAGCACGCCGCATCCATCGTGCTCTTTCAGAGCCTCTCATTGTCACCCACCGCTGAGTTGTCTCCAATTCATGGGGATGGCGTGTGCAGGGGGGCACATTAGAGGGGGGCAGTTTCAAACTTCAGGACCGCGAAATGACCCGCATGGTCCGCCAGCAGGATGAGTCAAATCAAATGCAACTAGTTGGATGGAGGATATGGTCCAGCAGATAGGGGCGAATGCCGCCGGGGAACTGCAGCTATCGCGCTTGCTACGAATCCGAGTCCCCTCTTTGTGAACAACACCTTGAAGGCGAGACAGAGGGACCGATGATAGCAGGATGCTCACGGTGGCTGTGGCTAGGTGGGGTGCCGCGTTAGTGCCGCGTTTAGTGTGTACCAAAAAACGCTATTCTAAAACGGATGTCTAAAAGGGAAAGACTCGGAGTAGTATCTTGGGGGTTTCTTGAGGTAGCCTGAGAGCCTCTGACGTCGGAGTCCGACGGTCAGCTAACGAGATAGTAAACTCCGACACGGGGAGGCAGCCTAGTGGGGCTGCCCTGCCGTCCGAGGGTGAACTATCGAGGTTACGCAGTGGCGGTACACCGGCGTCTCTGTTATCCTCACGTCACCTCAGCTGCCGTAGTATACGGGGGCCGGGGCTACTGGACGAACGGGCAGAGGATCTGCCTCACTAGGTCCAGGAAGACTCTCCGTCTATTACAGTGCGGGGCGCAACTATAACAGGGTTAGAAAGTATTAAGGAAGGGAAAGGATATTGGGTGGCTCTGTACCAGCGAGCCACTAGGGAGATACAAGACTCTCTGTCTCTCTACTCCCCTTGGATCGCAAGCCAGCGGTGAAGATCTAAATAGATTCTCACAGGGCTTCAATGTCGCTGTCGATTTGTGTCGCTTTTGATCGATCCCTAAGGGAAATCCAGCCCCAAACCGACCCTTACGTGACGACATACGACTCATTTTCGGCGCTCTAAAGGGCCGCGCGCACGTCGCCATGACCATGCGCGACGGTCTGACCAAAAAAACTACACAACAGCAACGCTTTCTCGTCGGCGAAAAAAACGCCTCTCGGGCACCAAAAACGACCCCAAACCGTCGACATGTCGCGGGACGTCGACGGGTCCCAGGGTCGCGCGCCTCGCCTCGCAGGTGTCGGTCGACAAAGTGGCGGAATCGGCCGAGCCAGCCGTGCTCCGGCGGATCAGCGTTTGAATAGCTTCTTTTGCGACTGGAGGCTCGTCATGGTGGTGCCAGTCGATGGTGCGACGCACTCTTTGTGGTTCGTCGATTTTTGGGCGACTCGCGAATGTCCGCCGGGCGCCGAAGCGCTTCGACCGAAAACGCGAGCCGCGGTGCGCCTGTGGGCGCTGGCGGCGGTCTGGCTGTCCTCGAAGGCGTGGACCATATGTGACGAGCGGGCGAAGGCGTCGGAGTCGCCCCGGGTCGCGAAATCGGCGTGCGAGAGGTTGTTCTGGTCAAAAGTGGCCTCAAATAGCCCGAAAACGAATGATTTCGGCGCCAAGCGCAGCGTTTCGCGTCGACCGATCACCGTCGCTGTGTTCCGCCGGGCGGTTTGACATCGTAGAGCTCCTGTACGGCGATCTACACCGTCTCCGACGCCCACAATGTGCCCGACACTCGCCGAAAGCGTCTCGGCCGAGAAGCGGCGAATGGTCTCCGCGGCCTGTTTCGACCGCGTCCGGGCCTCGGTCGAGGTTTGTGCGACCTGCCCGTCCGTCGACGGTCCCGATCGCAGCCGCGAGCGGCTGGATCGCCGCAGAGAGCGCCTTGGAGCGCCTCCAGGGGCCCAGAATAGCTCATATATATACGTCCACTTGGCCTTTCGTCTCTCCCACTAGCCTGAGCTAAAGGAAGCAAAGTAAAACCCTCCCTCAAGGGGAGGCTGAGCTCAGTTTCAATTAAAGATGCCTAACATATCCCGGCGGCGGGATATGTTAAACGCCGCTTCAACTTGGACTTCACCCTCAAACCTTGCACTTCAACAGGGACCTCAACACCGCCGCTTGCCCTTCAAAAGGGACCTCAACACCGCCGCTCACGCCTCGCCGGGGACCTCTGACGCGCCGCCCACGCCTTAGGGGGCGCCAGACTCGGGGTGTGAGTGTTATAGGATACGGGGGATACCGCCGGGGGTATCTCTGGCGCGCCGTCAGGCCGCGCACCCAGGCGCGGAGCGCGATGGCGCCGGCGCTGTTGGTGTCGGGCGGGTTGAACGCGGGGAGTCTGTCAAACATTTTCGCGAAATTTGACGTGTCGGTTTCCGTCTCGTCGGTCATGATGACGGCTGCAGGAATCAGGGCTGCATAGCAGCTCCATCCGAGTCTCACTTTTCCATTTTCCGTCTAAGTCAGGAACACTGCCATTTCCCCTCAAGAATGCCTCAGCAACTCATCACTCAAACTCAACCCTTGGATGCCAGTAGAAACCATATGACCCAAAAAATATAAGCCGCGCCACCCCGGACCCCGGGGAAGCGGCGAGCAGGGAGAGGACCACCACAACCAGCAGTTTTATTTAGCTGGATGATGATAGGTGGTCTAAACTCACTAGCCCGTTACCGGAAACATATTGTACTGCCGTAAATGCAATTTTCACCTAAAAGCACTCCCATATGGCTCTCTAGAGCTTAGCCACGCAACTTCCTGCTTGAGCGTGAACGAACGCGACGTGGGTGGCTCTCAGGAAAGCACGGGCGGCCTGCGCGGGCGGCCCGCGGAGGGTGGCTACAGAGCCTGCAGGAGCAAATTTAGGTACAAATGAGCTATTCTGAGCCCCTGGAGGCGCTCCAAGGCGCTCTCTGCGGCGATCCAGCCGCCCGCGGCTGCGGTCGGGACCGTCGACGGACGGGCAGGTCGCACAAACCTCGACCGAGGCCCGGACGCGGTCGAAACAGGCCGCGGAGACCATTCGCCGCTTCTCGGCCGAGACGCTTTCGGCGAGTGTCAGGCACATTGTGGGCGTCGGAGACGGTGTAGATCGCCGCGCAGGAGCTCGAACCGCCCGGCGGAACACAGCGACGGTGATCGGTCGACGCGAAACGCTGCGCTTGGCGCCGAAATCATTCGTTTCGGGCTATTTGAGGCCACTTTTGACCAGAACAACCTCTCGCACGCCGATTTCGCGACCCGGGGCGACTCCGACGCCTTCGCCCGCTCGTCACATATGGTCCACGCCTTCGAGGACAGCCAGACCGCCGCCAGCGCCCACAGGCGCACCGCGGCTCGCGTTTTCGGTCGAAGCGCTTCGGCGCCCGGCGGACATTCGCGAGTCGCCCAAAAATCGACGAACCACAAAGAGTGCGTCGCACCATCGACTGGCACCACCATGACGAGCCTCCAGTCGCAAAAGAAGCTATTCAAACGCTGATCCGCCGGAGCACGGGCTCGGCCGATTCCGCCACTTTGTCGACCGACGCGTGCGCGCGCGAAGTCGGGTCTACGAAACAAAGAAGAGCGTTTCCGGCCCTCCTAGAGGTAGCAGTCGACAGCGCCAATCGTTCTCGGGCCGCTCGACGCGCGCGTCCGTGCGCACCGGGGGGGGCTGACGTCTAGTGGCCGCAGCACCCCCTCTGATTAGTCCAAAATATCTCCAAAATCGCTCCAGATAGTTTGGGTGTGTGGCACCAGCTGGGTAGCTCAGTTCATTTAATAAATGCAATTCCGCATTTCGTCATGGAGTTTGGTCTCTTGCAAGAGGAAAGCGAGACCATCTTCGTGGACGATCTAGACGCCTGGTTCACCAATGTCTATCGATATTGGCATCGCAAGGGCTTTGCCTCCGAACTTGTATTGGGCCTGGTGCATCTCTTCACTCTTGCGTTCACTATATTTTTCTCCACGTTTGTCCCACTTCCATTACCCTGCACGCACGAGTCTCCGAGTAGGTTTTTATTTGCCTTTGTAAACTGGGCCCAGCTCCGCCAGTGCAAGGATGAGGATTCGTGCTTGTCGCTAGGTAGCTATGTCCGGAGTGCATTTTTGGCCGATCCAGCGAAGTATGGGCAAGACGTATTGGCGCTTGCGTATATTGCGGTATTTGGTTTGTATTGGCTCTGGACTTGCGGGGCAAGCATGTTCTCACTCCGCGAGGCTTGGGCTATAGGGCGTTTCTATGAAATAGAGCTGCAGATTTCAAGCCGGGAGCTTCAAACACTCAGATGGAACGAGGTGGTACATCGGCTGGGGTGCCTGCAAAGACGAGGTTGCGCGCCTTGGAAGGCTTTCCAGACTACTGGCGGTGCCGCCAGCAGAACTCTCATTGCCGGAGACATCGAGATGGCCACTCGCAGGGATGCACCAGAAGATGTACTCTTGCATGAGGATGCTCTCATCACAGCTCATGACATTGCGTGTCGGATAATGCGGAAAGAAAATTATCTGATTGCAATGCACCGCGTCAGATAACTTAATTCCAGGAGATATATTGACACATCCAGGCAATGCTCAACGCAAACATCCTCGACTTGACATTGCCCTTGCCAGAGTCGCTCACAGGTCTCATTTCGTCCCTGGACACAATCGCAGCACGAGCCCGGCTCACCAAAACTCTCGAGTGGTCGCTGCACTCTTGCCTTCTAGACCATATATTTTCGCGACGTTTTGTCGTGCGCCGTGCTTTTTTGGATGACAACGTGGCGCTCAGCCGGCGCTTTGTCTGGGCTGGGCTGATCCAAGTTGCGCTCGTGCCCTTTGTCGCAGCTTTTATGACAATGCACTTTTTCCTCCTTCATGCACAGGAATGGCATGATAAGAGACGCTATCTTGGTCCGCGCGAGTGGTCACCTGTTGCGCAATGGTCCTTCAGAGAATTCAATGAACTGCCTCATGTTTTTGAAGCCCGTCTTGCTGCAAGTAGAGAGCCAGCTGATATCTATCTCAAGCTATTTCCCCAACCTGTCATAGCTGCTTTGGCTCATTGCATTGCATTTGTTAGTGGGGCTATTGTAGCTGTTCTCCTTGCTCTTGCCGCTGCTCTGGACGGTGGCGATTCCATTCTGCTTTATATCAGGTTAGGTGAACGTAACCTGCTTTGGTATGCAGGGGCTGGCTCGGCTGTGTTCGCAATGGCTCGAGCCTTCGCTCCAATAGAGGCCACAGATAGTGGCACAGCTGTGTTTGCTCCACCTACTCCGCAAAGCTCTCAAGCAGACTGTTCGAAGGGAAGTTACACAACATCCAGCGGATCGCATCCACTTGACGAGAGCGTCGACCCAGTGCATGCCGCAGAGCTTGTAATGCGGCGCATCGCAGAGCATACCCACCACTTCCCTGAGGAATGGCGTGGAAAGGCACACACACGTGATGTAAGTGAAGCCTTCTCACGTGCATTTCGATACAAAGTATGGCTTTTTCTTGACGAAGTGATGTCCATTCTTTTTGCTCCTCTAATCCTGTGCTTTTCCTTATCTTCGTCGACACCGAATATCCTCCAATTCGTCCAGGAGAACACGGTAAACATTGATGGTCTTGGCTCGGTGCTTGGTCACTCCCTTTTTGACTTTGACGTATACGGAAATGCAAAGTATGGCTCTCCCACCGAGGGACTCAAACCCACTGAACACGGTAAGATGGAGAAAAGCTTTCTTAATTTCACCATGAATCACCCTGAATGGGTTGAAGGTGATAGACGTGCAACCCAACTTTTGCATAAGATTCAGCGTTGCGCTTCCACCCCTCAAAACGAATTGGTGGACTGTGAGGTTAACGGCCATCCCACCAGCATTGGGAGTCGCTCTGATCGTACCCCAGCCGACAGTGCCCTCGGGCTCTCTTTTGAGCGCCTAGACCGATATGCTATGACCATGCAAGAAGGACACGCTAGATAGGTCTCGTAATCTCCACCGCATTCGCTGTTGGCGACGTCGGTTGCGCTGGCGCCGCCGGGGGGCACAGAGTCGCACGCTGCCAAGTAATGGTGCTCACTCTAGACCGGGGGGCAATACCATTCAAGGTCGAAGTTGGAACGAGCTTTTGTCCGAATGGCTCCAGGTCTTCTTTGCACAGCTCTGAATGAATGGGTGGCCGTGGGGCGTCGCCCCATATCCAAAAAAGCATCAAAGATGCTGCAAAGGAATCGGGTGGCCAGGAAGCCTAGCCCCGAGCGCTCTCGGACATAAGATGTGTGTTTGAATGGTGTTGCACCGGTCTCTACTCTCATTCTAACCACCGGACGCTAAATCTTAAATTGAATCGCGTTGAAGCACCTCCTGCGCACGTTATGGGCTGCGACCGGGGCCCCGGGGGCGGGTCTGGAGTCCTTCCTATCTCGGACTAACCGCGCGGTGAGGCTCAGCGTCCGCGAAAACGTGCGCGCGTCGTCTTAGTCCGCGATAAGAAGGCGATCTTGACGTCGAACGGGGCAGCCCGTCGGTCGACGGTCGTTTCGTGTGGTTTATGTACGAAATGTGCGAGCGCTGCGAGTGCGCGCGGCAGGCGCGATACACAACACCAGCCCCCGCACGAGCCCGCACCCGGAGCCGCCCGGGCCTCGCATGATAGAACAACGTGCGTATAAAAAAGAATCTCCAAGGCCTCGTCGGCCCGCAAAGAAAAATCTCCTGGGCCTTGTCGGTCACTTTTGGAAGGGAAGTGGGGCCTAGCTGAGGGGCGCAGCTGAGGAGTGTCGAAGGCCTTCCAGCATTAACATTAGCATGCGGCGCTTCTGGCAAAGCATTTCTGACCATCATACGGTTGCTTCGAAGCCAGAAGAGTCGACAATTTTGCCCATTTGGGGCATGAGGACGCGGGGTTTGGCGCACGGGAGATTATCTAGATGGCTTTTGGATGGCAACTGCGAGCGCCTTGCCCGGAAATCCCATTTGATCTTCGACGTAGCGGTGGGACCTGTCTCGTCAAGAATGAGCTGTCGAACAGCCCAATGTTTTGCTGTTCGTTCAGTCCCCTCCATAGCATCAGCCTCAGGCATTAAAGCTGCAAAGGCCCATGTTGGGAACCGTATTTTTATCCAGAGCTAGGGTCGAACCAATCGGTGCAGGTGAAGGGGCGGCACTCTGTCCAGAACGCCTGCCTCTCTGCGTTTGCTTGACCTGGCATTTAGGTGAATTGCTGGCATCGAGTTCCATGCGTGAGATCTCCTGTTGGTGTTGAATCGTTTTCTTGTTGGCATCATCACTAGCCTGGGCAAGTTTTTGCACTAGGCGCTCAAGCATCTGATCCATCTCTTCATTCATGACTCGGTCTAACTCACCCGCCGTTCGTATGTTTCTCTGCACAATATCGCGATCTCTGAGACTGCGTTTAGCACGAGCGAGGTCAAGGCGCAATGTCACGATTTCTCCCCTGAGCTTCTCAGCGTCATTTCTTTCTGACTCGGCGTATGATTGCATACTCGCGAATTCATTCACATGCTTGTTGGCACGAATCTCCGCCTGGACTCGCATCCGTCGCTCAAGATGGAAATTTCCTTCATCCTCAGCTTTTTGAGAGGTTAACGCTGAAATCTGGGCACGGGCCTCACTTAATTTTGCAAGGGTGCGCTCGAACTCTTCCTGGTGATGTTCATCGTGAATCAGAGCTTTTTGTGCCACCTCCATTCTCATATTTGCGCCCCTGACTTCATTGTCTGCCCGCTCTCTAAGGAGCTGTTGTCTATCGCATTCAGTGTGGAGAGAGGTAAGCGATGCAGCCATGATATCTGCCGTGCGCAGAGCATTACGTGCCTGCGCCTCAAGCCGTTTTTTATCAGCTCTCAGACTCTCAATTAGCTCGCTTGCGCTTTCTTCAACTCCCTTAGCTGAGTTCACTTGCCGCCGTGTGCTTATCTTTTCAACCAGTAGCTGTCGCTGGAGCTCGTCTATCTCCAACACGAGAGCTTCACGATCGGCCCTGTTCTCTTCTATAGTCGCCTCAAGGAATTCTGTTCTCTTCAATTCCCGTATGTATGTTCTCTCCAGAGATTCCATAGTGCTTCTTTCTTTATCTAGCTCGATTCGTAGTTGTGACACTGAACTCTCTAGGTTTCCACCACGTTCCACGGCCTCAAAGTCTACGGCATATAGCGTGTCCAAAAGCTTGATGTGCACCAATAGATAAGCAAGATCGGGCGTCCCTGCAGCCACAGATTCTTTCGGCATCCATGCTTGCTCTGTGCTCCGTAATTTCCCCGTCTGCAATGGTGGTAGCAATGCGATGCGTGTAAGTATGGTATCATCAAGTTTCCACAGCATTCGCTCCGCACGCCTTCGTAACGCAAGTATTACTCCATCATCTGTGTTGCATCCCAAGATGGCGTTCTGGCATTCTGCGTGTGCTCTTGACTTCAAGTCGTGGCTCAGTTTGGACTTGTTGGGTTCCAAGTAATGATCTATACGCTGCAATATCTTTGACATTAAGCTCTGCCACACTTTCGGTATAGACGTGGGCCGACGGTTCACTCCCTCGGGGCAGCGGTTCTGCCTTGGACTTGAAGTAATGTTGTTTGTCGGAGCCATTTTGGGCCGGTTCGGCAACGCTGTTGTCGACGCAGCGGCAACCCGTGACTCTGCTAGCAGCGCATTCCACGGCTTCATCAGCGGCAATTAGTGTGTGATAGGATATATCAGGCGGCCAGCCTGAGGATATTCAGGATACAGAGCAGTGCGCGAAACAACCATAGAGCTGGCGGGCGCCATAGGAGTTATTATATATTCTTCTGGGGTCGCCCGGCGCGCCCCCCCACAGGGGTCCTCCGTCGACCGTCTGCGTGGGGTCCTCGCCGGAACTCAAATCGTGCCCCATGTAGAGAACGAAATATATATTATCCAAGAATCCAATCCGCTGAACCCATTGGTCGGACGAGATCTCAGACGTTCTGTGTATGGGCCAAATTTGTGAATTATGGCCCCGGCCACGCCCGGTTTGGGGCGGGTCGCGCCCCCTGAAAGTCCCCCTAAGGCGTGGGCGGCGCGTCAGAGGTCCCCCGCACGGCGTGAGCGGCGGTGTTGAGGTCCCTTTTGAAGGGCAAGCGGCTGTGTTGGGGTCCCTGTTGAAGTGCAAGGTTTGAGGTTGAAGCCCAGGTTGAAGCGGCGTTTAGCATATCCCGCCGGCGGGAGATGTTAAGAGCGCGAGTCGCCAGTTCGGGTCGGGAGTCGCATGCTACATCTCCACTGTGTAACGTTACTGCCCCCCAACGGAGATCGCCTTTGTGCGCACTGATACAGAGGAGATCGCCTTTGTGGCGAGAGTGGTCGCTTCGCCGGGCATGAACGAAGGGGCCGAATTTCGGGTTAGAATGAACAATAGCGCGTCACGGTGGTACTGGGCCTGGTCCCTGGTGGCATGGCCCATTCGAAAAAAGCCTCCTGCGGACGCGCCCGGGTGGCGAGTCCGGAGGAGCCATCGCCCCTCCGGAGCTCGAAAAGCGACCCTGTCTGTAGCTCTGGTGCGCTTGGGGCTGTTGGTGCTGACAGCACGGGCAAGGGAACACTACAGTGCACGGGCAAGGCCAACACCAAACAAATCTCCTAGCGGAGGCCACCATTTCCTCCAACGGGGCC